GAGAGGCCAGCTGCGCTATCTAACAATCAGACCGGCTCTTGTAAAGATTTCCCTATAGGGCACAGAAAAGTGAGTTTTGATGTATGTGGCTCCAGCCTCTACTGGCAGCACTATGTTGCTTGCTGAAGTCTGACCATGCTGGTGGGTGGGAAAAGATGGCTTCACCTGCTCTCTGGTCCCTGGGAAGGAAAGCTTGCACCTGCTGCTGTTCAGGAAGCCCTCACAAGTGTACATTCTCCTCTTCTGTGTCCCAGGCCTCCATCAGATCCCTGCCCTCAACCCTTCTATGCCTGGGCCGTGGACATACCCAGCATCTAGCTCTCCTATGTTTCATCTTTGGCACAGAACTGAGATTCAAAATTGCAAATCTTCTTACTTTTTTTAATTAAACAAATTTTTAAATATTTATTTATTTTTGAGAAAGAGAGACAGAGCATGAGCTCAGAAGGGGCAGAGAGAGAGGGGGAGTCACAGAGTCTGGAGCAGGATCCAGGCTCTGAGCTGTCAGCACAGAGCCCAACACGGGGCTTAAACTCACGGACTGCGAGATCACGATCTGAGACGAAGTCGGATGCTTAACTGAGCCACCTGGGCACCCCAAAACTCCAAATCTTAAAGGACGTAACAGGGCATGGACTTGCTCCTCCTTGCGGTGATGTGCCTGGTGCCATTCTGTTGCAGAAAGTAGTCCCTTGGCTGGGCAGTCCCATGGAGGTTAGAGAGAAGCACAGCAAAAAGCTGTGAGCACTTTAACAACCTTCTGTGCACACTTCTGTCTCTTGTCACAGGAAGGTTGCTTAAAGGTGCCAGCCAGGTCTTTTGTCCTTGTAGAGGCAATATACAGTCTTCCAAATGTATTCCAGGAAGGGGAACTTTCTCTCCCATTGTGACCCAGGGGATCCCCCCATCATGCTGTCCATTCCCAGTCTTCCCGTCTTTCTCCCCAGAAGCACTGCTTCCCACCCAGATCTACTCCAGCGAATGGCACAAACTTCCAGAAATTCAGAATTTCAGCTCCACTATTGCAGAAACTTGGGATAGTCAGTTCCTCTTGATTCCCCCATCAGTGGTTTTGGAGGAGTGCTTTTCTTGCGCAAACCCAACAACCTACTCTCTCTCCTCTCTGTGAAAAGGCCTCCCACCTCCTGCAGCATTGTGGCTTTTCTCTCTCCCCGCTCCCCTCTCCGCACCGCATACCTGCCACATTCTCTCCTTGATGTTATATAGAATCTTCACTTAATCCGCAGATTGATTTCCTAGGTGTTCAAAATGATGTGATGTTGATGTAGCTGTGTTCCGGGGACGAGACTTCCAGGGTCTGCCTAGTACACCACCATCTTAACTCCTCCCCTGACGAATTTAAATGTTAAACCAAATTTGTATTCCTGAGATAAACTGTACTTCATCATAGTGTAGTATCCATTTTTAATAATTGCAGATTCTTCAGATATTTTAAAAATTTTGTGTCTTCAATGTGCAAAACTGACAACTGCAAAATATATAAACTACATATCATGGATTTTTTTCCCTCCCTAAATAGGAATGAAGAAATGGATGCTCACTCTGACCATTTCTTTTCAGCATTTTGCTACAGGTACTAGGCAATATAGTAAGACAGGGAATAAGAGGAATGGAGTCAGATATAAAGAAATAAAAATATTGTTATTTCTAAAAGGTATGGTCATATAATAAATAATTTATCCAGAAAAGCTGTTAGAACTAATTAGTGAATTCAGCAAGATGACGGGATAATAAGTCACTGTACAAAATTAATGGTGTTTTTATATTCTAGTGATGAACAATTGGAAATTAAAATTTAAAAATATATTACCTTTTTTTGGCAATTTTTGTGTGTGTGTGGGTGTGTGTGTATTATTTTCTAATTATGTCATTTGCATGGGGTTCTCTGAGCTTCTTGGACATGTAGTTTTTTTTTATCTTTTATTAACTACGGAAAATTCTCAGCCACCAAGTTTTAAATTCTTCTGTTGGGTTCTTTTTCTTGCACTCTGTTACCTTTGTTTAAGACCATTTAATTCATTTCCACAGTTTATGCATGTTCTGTTTTGTTTTTAACTTTTTTTCCCATTTTTGTGTTTTCAGTTGGATAATTTCTATTGACCTATCATCAAGTTCATTACCTTTTCATTTGTTTGCAATCTATTCATTAGCCTGTCAAAAAGATTATTGTTTTGACAGTAACTTTTATTTCTATCAGTTTTTTTTTTTTTTGTTTTTTTTTGTTTTTTTTTTTGAGAGAGAGCATGTGCATACACCTACACAAGTGGGGAACTGCCAGAAGGAGCAGGAGGGAGAATCCTAAACAGGCTTCACACCCAGTGCAGATATCGAGGCAAACCTTGATTCCATGATCTTGAGATCATGGATCATTTTTAAACTATTTTGTTTTCTTTGTTTGTTTGTTTGTTTCTTTATTTATTTTGAGAGAGAGAGAATAGGGGAGGGGCAGAGAGAGAGGAAGAGAGAGAAGCCCAAGCAAGCCCCGCACTGTCAGCACAGAGCCTGGTCCTGGGCTGGATCTCAGAAACCGTGAGATCATGACCTGAGCTGACATCAAGAGTCAGTCGCTTAACCAACTGAGCCACCCAGGTTCCCCTCTACCATTTTTAATGTACCCTATGCACAGTTCCTAATCTCTTAATGCAATTTGATCACTTTATCCATTGTATAACATTTCAGTCATAGTTATTTTAGTGTTTTTTTTTTTTTTTAATTTTTATTTATTTTTGAGAGAGAGACGTAGAACGTGAGCATAGGAGGCACAGAGAGAGAGGGAAACACAGAATCTGAAGCAGGCTCCAGGCTCCAAGCTGTCAGCACAGAGCCGGATGTGGGGCTCCAACTCATGAACCGTGAGATCATGACCTGAACCGAAGTCAGAGGCTTATTAACCCACTGAGCCACCCAGGCGCCCTACAGTCATAGTTATTTTAAAGTCACTTTCTGGTAATTTCAACAAGTGAATCATCTCTCTATGCTTTATATTGCTTTGTCTCTTGACAGTGGTTTGTTTTTCTTGCTTTTTGTGTATGTCTTTTTTATTGCATGTTTAGATATCACAGTACAATAGGGGCTGAGGTAAATACTTCTATCCAACAATGGGCTTACTTTTTCTGTAAAGTAGTTAGTATGGGTAGTTAATCTTGTCAGTCGTTGAGCAGGCACTGGGTTTTGTTAATGCTATAGTTACTTCAATGCATCCTTTCTGATTACTCCAGCAGTAGATGGAATACAGTTTCTTTGTCCTTGGCATGGGACCTGGGTTGCTGGAGGGGTTTTAATCACTGTTTCTCACTTTCAGCTTTCAATAGTCCCTGCATTGCTAGGTCACAGAAGGACTCTGTCATCATTGTCTCCCTGTCTTGCTTGTTACTAATATCTAGCTGGTTGGGGGTAAGAGTGGATGTGTTTTTGGTTCTGCTAGAAAGACTTCAGTCTTTTCCTTTTTCTTTTTTTTTTTAAAGTAGGCTCCATGCCCAGCTTGGAGCCCAGTGTGGGGCTTGAACTCATGACGCCAAGATCAAGATCTGAGCTGAAATCAAGCGTCAGACACTTAATCGACTGAGCCACCCAGGCACCCCTGGATATGCTTCAGTTTTAAGCATTCTTTGTGTTCTTGGTCTCTGAGGTTGGGACTTTGTTAATATTTGTGTCTCAGTCCCTCATGGCAGAGAAATTCTGCCTTGTATGTGTTGTTAGGGTTTTGACAACAGAATTTCTAGCCTATGTCCCAGTATTAGATCTTTGCTTTCTATTGATGCAGGAACCTAGGTTTGGCTGGCATTTTTTCTGTCCCTTCTGCAGGGACAAATGGCTTTTGTTTCTGTTTCTTATCTAGAAATAGTGAATTATTTTTTGGGTTGTGCAGCAGGAGATTTTCCTGTTCCTTTCCGAAAGGCGCATGGGTTTTACTTACACTCTCCCAACAGAAGCTGTGCATCTTTTCCTGGGTTCTGAAAGTATAAGACTTCTTACCTTAACCACATGACTTAAGATGTTACCTCATATGAGAGAAGAATCCAGGGAAGTGGACCTAGTTTTAGGTCTATCTCTTGATGGCAGCCAATCCCCACTGAGCCACCTGTGCTACGAGTAGGGACTCCCATTGGTATCTGCCCTAATTCTTTTTCATAAATGCTTAATAGAGGCCTATGGCAAAGAGCTTGCAACTGACTGCAGACTTTGCTTGAGTCACTTACTCCCAAATATTATAAATTGTCATGGTACTTGCACTTGACTCTTAAATTTGTTAGAATTTTATCTGATTCTTACTACTTTTATGACAGCTACTTCTCTCTAGCACCCTGGCAAAATGAAATAGTTTTGACTGTCCATTCTCTTCACAAAGGGGCTTATTATTATCACTCTTAAGGAAATTTAAGTTTCTTGGTTGGCTTGTTACCTCAGTTCTCTGGTAGGTTCGTGAAAGGTTAAAAGTTCTGTAGATTATTTGGTTTTTTCTTATTGTTAGGTAATAACAGTGTTCTCTTGTGGCTTTCTATATCCTGGGCACAAGTAGAACTTTCATGAAACTTTGGGGATGTTAAAAGTTAATCAAAAACTAATTTTTTAAAAGAATGCTGGCAACTGTAGTTCCTTTTTAGTGGTTTAGAATGATTTCCTTGGAGGTATGTTGCCTTCTGAGGTAGCTACATCCCTAAACTTCTTTCATTATTCTTTGGACTTAAGGAGGTGACTTTTCCTTAGGGAATAAAGTCAGTATTCTTGATTCTTAAAAATATTTCCCATATCAAGAAATGGATAAGCAAAAAGAATATCATGATTTCTTCAACATCTTTGAACAACTTATAATTTAAGAAATCACTATAGTACTTATTCTCCATGACACTCACATAGCCCAGGGGCACTTAATTCTTTCAGAAAGTTCTACTCCTACTCTAAGGAAGTAATTGATTTAGATGATGTGACTGAATATACTTTAAAAAAATACTTTCTATACTATTTACATTTTTATTTAGAGTTCTGGAGGCTGGAAAAGCAAATGTTATTTTACCAAAAAGCTCACCAAGTGAAATAACTCATGTGATTGCCAGTAATGCAAGAATCAAGGCTGAGCAAGAAAAAGACAACTTTAAAGCTCCATTTTATCCAATTCAGTATCTAGGGGATTTTCTTTTAGAGGTAAGCAAAATAAATGGTAAACATTTTTGAGTGTTTATTTTATAAAATATTGATATTGTGAAATATGTTAAAAATTATGTTCTGAATTTTAAAAATACAATGATTAGAAATACGTTTGACCCTTAAACTGCACAGATCCACTTTATAAACAGATTTTTCAGTAAGTTGAGTACTATAAGTGTATTTTATTTATGATTTTAACATTTTTTTTCTTTAGCTTTGTTACAAGAATATAGTACATAATACATACAAAATATAAAATAATATGTTACTCAGCTACATATTGGTACAGTGTCTGGTCAACAGAAGCTATTAAGTCTTTGGGGGGCTGAAAGTTATATGTGGAGTTTGAACTTTGGCAGGAGGTGTTCTTGCCCCTAATCTCCACATTGTTCAAGGGTCGGCTATAATTAAAATGCATATTCTTTTTTTTTTTTTTTATTAAATTTTTTTTTTTTCAACGTTTATTTAT